TTAATTTTAAGGTGTACCATAACTAATTCAAAGATACCCCAACATTAAATTCAATGAAAATTCGTAGTCAATAAGTGTTGAGTGAAAGCGAAATAGTAATTATAGATGTTAACAAGAATTTAATTAAATTAATATTTATTAATTTGAAAATTTTAATTTAAAGTGAGGATAAAAAATTTAAATCTTTACACTTGCGTGCAAAGCAGCTAGCCCCTTGCTATACTAAAAACCAAAATAGTGATTTTGAATATATAGCTATAAATAACTATGAATTCGTTTTGGGTTAGAGACTTAGAGAATGTTTGGTAAATTTTATAAGAGTTTTTATTTTTTTATATTGTTTATAAATAATAAGTTTAAATTTTTATTTGAAGAAAAATTTAAAAATTATTTTTAGAAATATAAAAAAAAAAATAAAAAATGAGTAAAAAAATTTATAAAAAACATAAATTTAAAATTTTTTAAAATTTACTGTTTAATTTTTTTTAAAAATTAAAAAAAATATATATTTTTAAGAAAAAAAATTTTAAATTTATAAAATAAAAATAGTATATAAAAATTTAAAATTCTTACAAGTTTTAACAAAAATGCTCTTAATTAAGATAAAAGCCCTTAATTAAGATAAAACTCCTTAATCAATTAATTATAAGCTAATAGCGGAGTATCTCTCAATGTAAATGGGTTTTGGGTACCCCTTGTACTCTTATCAATAAAAATTCTTTTTGCTGATAAAAAAAAAAAAAGAAGATAAAACTCCTTAATCGACCCCCACCTCTTACGGGTCGCCTGACTCGAACAAAAAAGCTTGAGTTTATACCGTAACTAACTTGTCCGTCCTTCGGTGACTGATTATCTCTTCAGCAACTTCAGTGTCAGTACAGAATCTATAATGTCTATGTACTTCTTTTTTTAATAAAAGATTCCTTAAAACCTGTAAATCTTAAAATATTAAACAGACCAAATTACTACCATAAATGATTAGGGATGTGGCATGGTTATTGTCGCACGGACGTTTTTGTTAAGGTTATATACACATAACTTTGATTTATATTTTATTAATTTATAATTTTTTAAAAAATATATAATTACGATATTCAAAAATATTTATTTATAAAATAATTTTAATCTATTACATACTGCCTATCAACTGTTTTAATACTAGTTATTTAGCTAATCCTAATTGACAAACTAATTACTAATAAAATACTATCAATCAAAATTAATTAGTTGCAATAACCCCATCCTCAATATAACACTTTTTTTTTTCTTTTATGGGTAGAAATCCTCAATATAACACTTGATCACTACTACTCCCACAAACAAAAGGTATTGTACGAGTAAGTCTGTGGTTTTTAATACTTAAAAATAACTGAAAAAAAGGAATTAATGAAAATTAATTTATGCACACCAAGTGTTTTTATTTTTGCCTGTGTGGGTTGTGATGATTTTCTTTTAGAAGACACATTTTAAGAGTTCTTTTGCTTGCGTGTATTGTGTACAAGACTTATAAACAAGTATTATAATTGGATTTTTGTAACCTTTGTAATTATTGTGATAAATTTTTATTATGTTGCCGATCAACAAGACATTTGTTGCTTAATACGCACTATGTGCTTGTTTAAATTGTTTATGGTTAAGCATGTGAGCTACATTAGTTGAGGTGGTTCAAATGTCTTAAGGCTTAAATGAGCAGTGTCGTCTATTAACTTTTGCTATTCTCATGTGACGCATTTTGAGTTGTGTTATTCTTAGAGATTCCTACATGTTATATGGTTATAATTTTAATGTAAAGATTGAAGTACTTATTATACTTTAAATTAATACATTTCATTTATTAAAAAAATGATAATAAGATTCATGTAACTCTTAAAAACTTTAAAATCATCAAGTTATTATTATAATGGTCGGTCATCACTCTTTTATATAATCTATAATTTGATGTGAAGTAGTGAGGGGTCACTGTTAGTCGGTAACATATATAACAACCCTCCAGCCTATGTACAACATTTTGTGTCATGTCAAGGAGCCAGAGGAGGTGGCCCTCTTTCAACCATATATGTTTATATCCTATGCTTCCCAATTGGGATTCATTTGGTTTTAGTGTTGATATCCTTTTCTAAGTGAATCTTTGAAGTGCTCTGTATCTGGATGTTAAACTCTGTTTCAATTTTTCCCGACTTAAACAGCTTCTTAATCATTGTACTTCTGCGGGCCCTCGACAAACTTTTCAGGTTTCATGGCATGTTTGCAACGATTGCATACTAATTCTTGAATGGAAAATCTAAACCCAAGACTTTACCATCTTACCAATGGGTATGCATATGTGTTCCCATATTTTTGCAATAGCCAACCTAAAAGTTTATTAACAGACCAATAGCTCCACCTAATAGTTTCGAATTCATTAATAAAATAATTTATTTCTTATTTTATTAACTAAGCTTTTTGAAGAAGTTAATTAAAAAAATAATTTTTTACAAATTTTGTAATTTCAGTATAAATGATTTCTTTGACAAGATCTTAAGAGAAATTAATTTCAAAGTGATTGCAAAATGCAAATTTAATTCTTACATCTAAATCCCAAAAAAAAAAGGGCAGGTGGCTCCGTGCTAGACTTCTATTTCTAACTACTCAAACATTTATGGGGATGTTTTGTACACCCTCCCCCGATTTTTAATTCGGAAATTGTAAACTGTGAGCACGTGTGTGGGATTGTAAGAATCCGGTACCCAAATACATAAGCATTTTTTTTTTTTGGAAGAGAATACATAAGCATTTACATTGCAATGTGTGTTAACTTGTGCGTAGATTCGGAAGCCTTATTATTATTATTTTTTATTTTTTTATTTTAATTTTGTTGAACAAAGGGGAATTTTGGCGAAAGGGGAAAATCTCACAATTATTCTCATAGGGACTTCAACTTGAGTATGGGCCAAGGTTTGCTATGCACATTGCTAGCCCATCTGGGCTGCAAGTGCTTGGAAGCTAATTGGTTGAAGAATTCAAGTATTGTGAAAATGCACGTGGCTTAAAACATCAATTAATTATAAATTTTTGTAAAAAATGTTTTTTTTGCTTTAAGTATGGAATTCAAATCTTTTTCTCTAAATTTGTACTTATTTATTTAAATTTGTACTTGTTCAAGAAAGAAGTAATGTGGAAATAATCCAACTAAAATGATATAGGCTTTCTTTGAAAACATTTTTCAATACTTTAATTTTTTCATTTTTATGTTTTTTTAATTATTTTAAAAATAAATAAAATATTAATTAAAATAAATATTAAATATATTAATATATTTTTTATATTTTTAAAAAATTAAAAAATTAAAAAACTTCTAATTACTACTTCATATTAACATTGTCAAATTAAGTCATAATTGATGAAAGCATGTTTGACGAGGGCATGATAAAAGAAAAACTTCTCATCCCAAAATGACATGCTTAGAAGTTTCATTAATGTTCAAGAAAAAGAAATAAAATAAAATGACATGTACATGCTTTGAAAAATCCAACTCCAAATACTAAAATTTCAATGATTACAAAATTTACATCAGGATTCACCTGACCTGATTAACCCGTTCCCAAATGCACGCACATGCATATGTTGAAATTAAACCCCACTGCTAATATCAAAATTTCCATGATTACAAAAAGGATCATGATTGGTGCACACTCGGATTCAACACCCGGGTGTGCACACTCCGGTCCATTTTTTTTGTTTTATGCGGAGGGTGCATATTTAGGTGTTGAATTCGAGGATACATACTTAAGTGTTGGATCCGAGTGTGCACACATCATTTTTATTACAAAAATTGCCCCTGCATCATGTCAAGAACATAGATTTAAATCTTTTTTTTATGAAATAGTTGAAATGAGTTGCACTTTGTCATCAGATTATTAAACTGCCTTTAATAAATGGGTTTAT